ATCTTATTTACACTGTTTTACATTTTCCAGACGATTCTAGTTTAGACTCTCATTGAGCTTTCATAGAACCTTGTACATATGCCAACGCCCTGTCTGCCACACTCAAATTCTCTTTTAGGTGTCAGTTTCCTTACATGTCTGTACACAAGTTGTCCATTTCTATCTGCAGTTGATTGGTTTTCAGGGCCCTTGTGGATACCCAAATCCAGGGATATTCAAGTCCCTTATATATAATGGCTTAGTATTTGCATATAGCCTATACACATTTTCCCATATACTTTAAATCATCTCTAAATTATTTATAATGTCTATATGTGTGCTCAGTCATGTCTGACTCTTTGCGGCCCTGTGGACTGTAGCCTACCAGGATCCTCTGTCCATGGAATTTTCCTGGCAAGAATGCTGGAGTGGCCTGGGGATCTTCCTGACCCAGGAACTGAACTCACATCTCTGGAGTCTCCTGCATGGGCAGGTGGATTCTTTACCAGTAGTGTCACCAGCAGGAGATGCAAGACTTGTGTGTTCCATCCCTGGGTCAGGAAGACCCCCTGGAGTAGGAAGTGGCAACCCGCTTCAGTAGTCTTTCCTGGAAAACTCCATGGACAGAGGAGCCTGGCGGGCTACAGTCTATGGGGTTGCAAAGAGTCGGACATGACTGAGTATACACTCCCCTGCTAGATTACTTATAATCTCTAATACAATATAAATGCTATGGGAATTGTTGCCAGTGTATTACTTTTGCTTTTTCCTTCTTGGAACTTTTTGGAATTTCTTTTTTCCTTTTGAATATTTTCAATCTGAGGTTGGTTTAATCCATGGATGTAGAACCCACAGACTCAGAAGGCTGAGTATACTATTTCTATCCTAGTTACCTCATATGGTTGCATTTTGACAATGTCTGATGAATAACATATCCTTGAAGATTCTGACTCTGGAAATAGTACTCCTAAGGACCACCCTGATTCCAAAATTACTAAGATGATTTGCAAAATCTCCTTCTCTGTACTGATGAGTGATTGTTCCATATTTCTGTATTCTATTTCTAACCAAGACATTTTATGTCTTCAGTTATTTTTCCTTTTATATTAAAACATTTATGAAGCACATTCAGCATTCATATTTCACACTCAAGTATTCTTCTTTATCAAGAAAATTTTAATAACCATCCCCTGAAAAACATCCCAAAGAAATTCTACCCTACCTTCCGGGGACATTCCATATCTTTAGTGATTTTCATGGACACTTTTATTACTTGTTAAAATAGTTTATAATTGAAGTTTCAAGGCTTCTCTCAGAAACTTTTGAGTCTGTTTCCTTAGCAAAATTGTAAATGGAGAGTTTAAAAGGCAATGAAATTACAATAAACTATAGGACAGCCTCTCCATGTGCCATGCAGAGCACACCCACACCTGCCAGCTTCTCTGAGTGTGGTTTGGTTATTGCAGAGGCTAACACGACCTAGCGTCCTTTATCTGCAGACTCTATCTATGGAGTACCTCAAAGTAGGATATGCTAGTGTCCACAAGATCAAATTGGAAGTGTGAAGTTGAGTGGTATTGAACAATGCCTCAGAGAAGGTATCAGTGAGAAATTCTGTTACCAGAGTCAGTTTCTGACTGACAGAACTTGGCATCTGAACTGCCTTAGGCTCTAGGCTGATTGACTTAGAGAGGACACCATATGGAATAGACAAATGGTGGCCCCGGTGGACTCTTACCCTCCATATTCTTCTTTTATTTGATCATATATTCCACTAGATAATCATCAGCTTAAAAAGTGAGAACATAATGAAGTAAATAAGACATCACAGTTTTAACTTTGGAAAAATTACCTAGGTTTTCTGGGCCTCAGTTATAATAATAATAAACAGCGTAATAGCACCAACTAACATTTACTGAGGATTCACTCTGTGTCAGGTAGTATTCTAAGCTCTTGGCATATATTAATTCCTTTCATATAATCTTTCCCTCACACAGTTTGTTGTCAGAATTAAGGGAGTACCCAAGCAAAGTTCTTAGCATAGGCCCTAACCAATAATGCTAAAATGAGTTCTCCAAAAAAGCTGGCTATTTTGTTTAAAAAAAATAATAAATTTTTCCTACTCCAAATAAAACTCTAAGAGGCTTTTTAAACTTTCAGTTAGATGGTGTCTCAACTCTTTGTAATATCTCAGCATTACCTACAACCTAACTAGAGCCTGACACATATTGAGTGATCAACAAATATTTATTAAAGAAAGACTGTCCTGCATTGTATGAATGTTCTTATAAGTACATTCCTCAGGAAAGAAAGTACATAGTATTCTTCAGATTCTTAAGATATTTCATGATCTAAACAATAAGACACCACTACTTTAAAAAAGAAAAAAAGAATTCTGTCACTGTGTAATAAAGTCTTAATAAGAATAACAAGGAAGCAGAGAGGGAAGATTTGTGTGGGGCTGGCTCCCTATCCTCATTCGGAAATTCTCTGTAATGCCAGCCTCTGTGTTGGTAGCCCAGGATGGCTCACTCTCCCCACCTGGAAATTCCTATTTGACCTCTGGGGTCATTTACAAAAGACTGTGAGATTACTGGCTATATGTTTAGCCTTGAATGGATGATTCAATGTTAAACAATTTCATTCTGGTTTTGTAGGAATCATAGAATGTCAGCACTGGAAAGAACTTCAGACATCATCTATTTTGAGGTTTTCAAATTTGGAGCAGATGGGTCATTACTCGCCTACTTGCATGCATGCCAAACATCTCTAATTGGGGACAGCAATCTTTGCATCTGTATTATTTAAATCCTTTTAAATATACTATTATTCTATGTAGCCATTAACAATTGATTGAAATTAGCACCACGAGAAAACCAGTTTTCCATCCATATCATGAGTCTGACATCCTCCTATCACAGCTGGGAAAATCGAGAAGATGACATTTAATACGTCTGTGGGTTAGAGGTGATCACCTTGAAGTGAGTGATATGAGGTTTTGAGATAGCAAGGGTTGTGACCACAAACTACAATCATTTGAGTACCAAATATCATCTTTGCCTCTGCTGTTATCTTCTTTTCTCATCTTTCATAGAATAAAGACTGAAACTCTCTTAAAAGATCATTTACCTATTTCCCACATACTCTTGGTGGTTAAAAGCAGAGTCTTGGATGATGAAAAGAAATAAAAAATGATTGTATGAAGTATTGTTCCATATTTTGTTCATTTTTATTTTAAATAATGAAATAGTTATGCAAAGCCACAGGCCTCAGGTTACTCTATCTCAGCATCCTTGAAAAAGGCCCTGTGGGAAAATGCCATATTTAAATCTAGGAGACTTGGAGCTGTTGGCACTAACCGAGGATTGGTGACTTTCTGAACCTCAGTTTCCCCTATTGTCATAGGAGGATATTGGACACTTCAGAGGAATAGAAAACTGGATTCTTCATGCATGGGAGAGAAAGAATGACTCCCTGTTGAAAAGGAGATTATGAATACTTATTTCTAGTGTGTGTGTGCCCACATGTGTGTGTTGTGTGTGTTTGTGTGTGTATATGTATGCAAATATGCACATATTTAACGTGAGGATGAAGACTTGGCTGGGGAACGATATGAAATAAAGTGCATTTCCACTTTTAAAATTATTAACGAAATAACGTAGAACTGTCTTCAAAATTATCAAACATTACTGTAGTTCCTACAACTTAGAATGGAGCTCTCCCTCTGCATTCCAAGGGTGGATAAGCTCTGAGCCTCACCATAAACTTTTTTTCAGTTAATTCTATGCAAAAACGCTAGTGAAAATTGGAGTTTTAGGCAGACCAGCAGAGATCAAGTTTTGACACAATCTAGATTTTTTCTTTCCTTTTGAGGATGGTAAAGGTGGCCAGGGAAGGGAGGATTGCTAAATATGCAGCAATTCTCTGCCTTCTTTATCATATACTCTAAGTAAACTGGCTTAAATCCCAGCCTTTCTTTAAAGCCTTTTGCATTGGCTCCTTTTTGCAGTATGAAAGTTATGAATATAAATTAGGAAATAAGCAAGTATTATATGAGAACATATTTATTGGCTGAATAATAAAACTTAGGGAGTTATGAGAATTAGAATTCCCTCTACTCAAAGTACAAGCTTTCAATAAGCAAACAGAAGCAAAACCCCCAAATGAGAAAGAATACACTGGTAACCTAAATCACAGGCTTTTGGAGGTGTGTCAAGACGATCTACCTACTCCTTTGTGATGGACTGCAGCGCTGATAACACACTCACACAACCAGAGACATGGCAAATCGGCATATCACAGGAGTTCATGACACCACAAAGGTTAGGCTTCTTAAATGTGGCTCCTTTAACTTAAACACATACCCACAGAGGCACCGCAGACATCTTCCTGCAAAAGATGGTTTGCATATAGTTTCTAGCCAATACTCTTAAAAAAAAACACCCACAAAATCCAAAAGAAAAAAGAAGACAAGGAAAAACAAAACCTTGAAGACCATGGTTAATAAATAAGAAGTAAAAGGAGAAGAAACAAGCAACTTCCATCCTCTGGCAGGCATGCTGAGTAGCACCTCTGACCTCATCTGAAAAACAGGCGATGTTGACAGCTTTCAGAGCCCAGGAGAGAGGGCTGAAAGGAGCTGTGTACAAGCTCCCTGGGCATCTTCACTTAATCTCCAGGATGGGGAATTTTTAATCAGTCCTTACTGCATAAACTGTGTCCTTTTAGATGTGGCTGAAACAGGTGTCTCTGCAGAGTTTATAAAGCTGTTCTAGGAAAGGCAGGAGGCATGGCTTTAAATTGTCCTTTCCAGGTGACAAATCAGTAACAATCACATAAATAGTGTACAAAACTAAAACCACTCAACTCTCACTTTTTTCCTTTTTCAGGATTACTTCTGATCATTCTCCAAGTGCAAATCAGGTTATAAAAAATAATAAGTATAAGGGGAAAGTTAGCCCTGTGTCTGTCCACCAGGAGGGCTGACTTGATGCCCTCTCCTGGGCAGTTGGCCCCTTCACCTACACTTTAAGATAATCGTTCTTCAGCCGACCTAGTCGGGTCCCATGGCTCCTGATGGTGAGGGCCAGCAGCTCATATTTGTCCCTGAGCCCCACGGAGATGTCCAGCGTTTCCTTCAGCAGGGACCTGGTGTGGACCAGCATCCCCAAGAAGTCCTCGTTGAGCCTGCTCTCTTGCCGGCTGTCCTGCTCCTGGCCCTGTTTGAACTTGCTTTCCAGCTCAGTGAGGGACTTGTCCGAATTGGAGTAGGCATCCCCGATCTGGTGGGACTCCCGCCGCAGGTACTTGCCATAACTCTCCTCCCCGTCAAGGTCGTAGGAGATGCTCTTACTGATGCCCTCCAGCACGCGCCCCGCGTCCTCCACCTGGCGGCCCAGCACGGTGAATTCCTCCCGCAGGGTGAGGCTTAGCAGAGTGCTGGCCGGGCTCCCCTCCCCCTGGGAGCAACGCCGGTGGTCACTCACCCTGAAGAGCAGCTGGCATTTCTCGGGGTCGTCGTTCTCCTCGTAGTCCCCGTCCGGCACAAAGTAGTGATGCAGGGTCCCGTTGGACATCTCTGGGTAGAGAGGACCGTCGAAATAGCCCTGACACAGGTGGCACAGAAAACCCATCCAGAGAAACTTCAGGAACACCATCCTGGATATTCAGGATGACCGGGGACCCCTGGAGAAGACTTTTCGCCCAGGCGCAAGGAAGAGGAGGGGGGTCCCCTTGGGAGTCACTGCCTCCCTGCGACGGCGTCAGCCTCAGTCCCAGTCGCCTTGCTGCACCCTGACCCCCCCTCCCCAGCTGGCTTCATGTGGCTGCGCAGCAGAGCCTGGGTAGCAAACCCCGCAGCCAGCAGCCCAGGATGCACCCTCGCTCTGAGCTCCTGCGCTCGCTCCGGAGGTTGGAACTCAGCCGGCTGTTTCCTGGCGGGATGCCGGCACGATGGGGAACCCCTCCTCCAGGGTTCTGGCTGGATGCTGGCTGGCTCCGTTGCCCCAGTCTGGCTCTCCGAGGTCCCTCTTGCTCCTTGGGAAATGAAGCCTGTAGCTGGAGAGAAAGGCTCTTGCCCTCTGATAAGATTTCGACTCCTGGACTGGGTGGGAATGCGGAGATTTTCCTTTGGCTAATGATATCCTGAGGATCTTTCTGCTCTCAAATTACAGCTGGTTTCGTCACTTGGAAGCCAGGGAACAAGTTTGGAAAGAAACCTCTCACCAGGTCTCTGCTATTAAAGGTACAGGGTCTCTTTTTGAGGATTGGTAGAGAGACCCTGGAAAACAGAATTTAAACTGAAGGAACAAATGGGAAGAGGATAAATTGAATTCCCATAACAGAAAGTCTGTTTAACTATTAACTATTGGGAGGAAGGGTAATTACCCTGGAGAAATGCCGCTTCACAATTTTAAATAAGTGTCTGTTAGACTGGATTCTGTGAGTATATCTATTTTTATCACCAACAAGTTTACGACTTTGAAGACAGATTTGCAGCGTATGAAATGGCAGTTTTGTTTGGAAATGGTTAGTTAATTAAAATGTGCAATAACAATACTTTGGAAGAAACAAGAATATAGAAAACTGATTAATGTATGGTTCCTAGTATGTATAGGGCAAAAGCTGAGAAATGGACTTTTGCCAGTTTAGCAAGTCAGTGGACAACTGAGATAATTATTTAATTTCATGAAAGCCCATCCTTGCGAAGTTCCTTCATTGCATCTTTAACCTAACACCTTTACAGCTATTGCCTCTTTTGGGACACTTAAAAAGTTTTTGAAGACTAGAGGACTGATACTGTTATCCTCATTTTCTCTATGGAGAACCCAAGGGATAGAAGGTTAAACAAATTATTTATTGTCACAAAGATTACTGTTGAACAAGGCAGCACTCAGTATGTCACTGGGTCTTAAAAAGTGTTTGTTTCACCCAACCATTTTAGTTTTTGATTTATGAATTGCTTAGCAAATTGCCATCCTTAAGGACATCTCATTTGTTGATCACACATTTATTGAACACTTATCATATGCCAGAATCTATTTTAGGTACTATAGAAAGAGCAGTGAGCAAAAACAAAGAGAAATCCTTGCCTTCCTGGTGCCCTAGATTCTGGAACACAGAAAGAAAATTAACATAAATAAGAGAGATTATATGTTGAACAGGGTTGTGAAGGAAAAGACAGGGAAAGAGTAGGAAGACAGGCAGCATCCTGTTTCTATGGCTATGTCCTCTTTCTGTCTTGAAATGTAACTGAAACATTCATGTGATTTGCCTGTGTTTATACTTATCTTCCTCTCAAAGTCATAACGCACGGGTATCACTACCACAAAGCCCTTCTTCCTGCCATCACGTTCAATGACCTAAAACACCCTGGCTGCACAATGAGAAGTCTGGTTAAGTAACTGGATATTTATCCATGTGATGTCATATACATAGATTATGAGGAGCATGTTGACCGCACATTTTAATTTTTATCCAGATATCTGGCATCATGAAAACAGAGACCAAATGAGTTTCCTCAGTGTTTATGCTAACTAAAGACTATGACTTATTTTCAGTGTGTTTCAGCAGAAAACGCCAACCATCTCCAGTTGAGAGACTGGACTCTTGGACTCAAGAGCCATATTGCTTAATTCCGTTTCCCTTGGCACATTGACAAATGACAGCAGATGGATTCAAATGGATTCTTGGCTTGGCCAAGAAAAGGAAGAGGAATTTACTCTGATTCACTCCACTTCTTGCACAATCTCTTCCCTGACTTACTAACCTGTTCAACTAAACAAACCTATTTTAAGCACTTAACTATACTTGTCCCCTACTATGTGCACAGATACACAGGGTCTGCAATAAAAAGTTCACATGTATATACACACAGTGTTTGCTTTTTCCTGCAGTTTCCTCATTTAAAAGACAAACCCCATGTCACAAAGTTGGAAGGAATATTTTTGGTCCAAGTAGCTGAAAGTCCAATTTAATCAGACTAAAGGCAAAAGGAATTCCTTAACTTGAAACTCTAAGCTTCAGTTCAGTTCAGTTCAGTCGCTCAGTCGTGTCTGACTCATGCAACCCTATGGACCTCAGCACACCAGGCCTTCCTGTGCATCACCAATTCCCTGACTTTATGCAAACTCATGTCCACTCACTTGGTGATGACATCCAACCATCTCATCCCCTGTCGTCCCCTTCCCCTCCTGCCTTCAGTATTTCCCAGAATCAGGGTGTTTTAAAATGAGTCAGCTCTTCACATCAGGTGGCCAAAGTATTGGAGTTTCAGCTTCAACATCAGTCCTTCCAATGAACACCCAGGACTCATCTCCTTTAGGATGGACTGGTTGGATCTCCTTGCAGTCCAAGGGACTCTCAAGAGTCTTCTCCAACACCACAGTTCAAAAGCATCAATTCTTCAGTGCTCAGCTTTCTTTATAGTCCAACTCTCGTATCCATACATGACTGTTGGAAAAACCACATCCTTGACTAGACAGACCTTTGCTGGCAAGGTAATGCCTCTGCTTTTTAAATATGCTGTCTAGGTTGGTCATAACTTTCCTTCCAAGGAGTAAGCATCTTTTAATTTGATGGCTGTGGTCACCATCTGCAGTGATTTTGGAGCCCCCCCCAAATAAAGTCAGCCACTGTTTCTGCTGTTTCCCCATCTATTTGCCATGAAGTGATGGGACCGATGCCATGATCTTAGTTTCCTGAATGTTGAGTTTTAAGCCAACTTTTTCACTCTCCGCTTTTACGTTCATCAAGAGGCACTTTAGTTCTTCACTTTCTGCCATCAGGGTGGTGTCATCTGCATATCTGAGATTATTGATATTTCTCCCAGCAATCTTGATTCCAGCTGTGCTTCAGCTAACCCAGCATTTCTCATGATGTACTCTGCATATAAGTTAAATAAGCAGGGTGACAATATACAGCCTTGACATACTCCTTTTCCTATTTGGAACCAGTCTGTTGTTCCATGTCCAGTTCTAACTGTTGCTTCCTGACCTACACACAGGTTTCTCAAAAGGCAGGTCAGGCGATCTGCTATTCCCATCTCTTTCAGAATTTTCCACAGTTTATTGCAATCCACACAGTCAAAGGTTTTGGCATAGTCAATAAAGCAGAAATAGATGCTTTTCTGGAACTCTCTTGCTTTTTTGATGATCCAGCGGATGTTGACAATTTGATCTCTGGTTCCTCTGCCTTTTCTAAATCCAGCTTGAACATCTGGGATTTAATGGTTCATGTATTGCTGAAGCCTGGCTTGGAGAATTTTGAGCATTACTTTACTAGTGTATGAGATGAGCACAATTGTGTGGTAGTTTGAGCATTCTTTGCCATTGCCTTTCTTTGGGACTGGAATGAAAACTGACCTTTTTCAGTCCTGTGGCCACTGATGAGTTTTCCAAATTTGCTAACATATTGAGTGCAGCACTTTTACAGCATTATCTTTTAGGATTTGAAATAGATCAACTGGAATTCTATTGCCTCCACTAGTTTTGTTCGTAGTGATGCTTCCTAAGGCCCACTTGACTTCACATTCCAGGATGTCTGGCTGTAGGTGAGTGATCACACCATCATGATTGGCTGGGTCGTAAAGATCTTTTTTGTACAGTTCTTCTGTGTATTCTTGCCACCTCTTCTTAATATTTTCTGTTTCTGTTACATACATACCATTTCTGTCCTTTATTGAGCCTATCTTTGCATGAAATGTTCCCTTGATATCTCTAATTTTCTTGAAGATATCTCTAGTCTTTCCCATTCTGTTGTTTTCCTCTATTTCTTTGCATTGATCACTGAGAAAGTCTTTCTTATCTCTCCTGGCTATTCTTTAAAACTCTGCATTCAGATGGGTATATCTTTCCTTTTCTCCTTTGCTTTTCACTTCTCTTCTTTTCACAGCTATTTGTAAGGCCTCCTCAGACAGCCATTTTGCTTTTTTGCATTTCTTTTTCATGGGGATGGTCTTGATCCCTGTCTTCTGTACAATGTCATGAATCTCCATCCATAGTTCTTCAGGCACTCTGTCTATCAGATCTAGCCCCTTAAATCTATTTCTCACTTCCACTGTATAGTCATAAGGGATTTGATTTAGGTCATACCTGAATGGCCTAGTGGTTTTCCCGACTTTCTTCAGTTTAAGTCTGAATTTGGCAATAAGGAGTCCATGATCTGAGCCACAGTCAGCTCCCGGTCTTGTTTTTGCTGACTGTATAGAGCTTCTCCATCTTTGGTTGCAAAGAATACAATCAATCTGATTTCAGTGTTGGCCATCTGGTGATGTCCATGTGTAGAGTCTTCTCTTGTGTTGTTGGAAGAGGGTGCTTGTTATGACCAGTGCATTCTCTTGGTAAAACTCTATTAGCCTTTGCCCTGGTTCATTCCATACTCCAAGGCCAAATTTGCCTGTTACTCCAGGTGTTTCTTGACTTCCTACTTTTGCATTCCAGTCCCCTTTAATGAAAAGGACATCTTTTTTGGGTGTTAGTTCCAAAAGGTCTTGTAGGTCTTCATAGAACCATTCAACTTCAGCTTATACAGCATTACAGGTTGGGGCATAGACATTGGATTACTGTGATACTGAATGGTTTGCCTTGGAAATGAACTGAGATCATTCAGTCATTTTTGAGATTGCATCCAAGTACTGCATTTGGACTCTTTTGTTGAC